CCTCCCGGGATGTCCATGCAGACGTGGCCACAGCCGACGCTGGTGCACCGCTGCCCGCGGGGACACTGTGAATCAGCCTGGCACTCCTCCACACACAGGCCATCAGCTTTGTCCCCGCTGCCTGCAGGGCCACCACCTTGCTGTCACCTGCCTGCCCTTGGGGGGCTGGGGCCAGCTCCCCCCGCACAGGCTGTGCCTTCTACCTCTGGGCACGGCCACGCACTCCCGGCCACAGCCGGTGTCACAGCACTTCTCCTGTCGCCGGCAGACGCTGTCATCCAGGCACTGGCTCCCGCGCCGCAGCTCCCAGCACGGCCCTGCCCGGGGGCACTCCCCGGGGTGCTCTGCCACAGGAGGGGACTCTGGTGAGGTCCCAGCCCCGCTGTCACATCGCTGCCCTGTGCTGTGGCCTGCTCACCTTGGGCAGGGCGGGTGCAGCGCATGGCGCAGCCGGAGAAGCAGCACTTCTCCTGGCGGGAGCAGTCCCTGTCGTGGCTGCAGGAGTCCTTCTCCGTGCACGGCTCCGATGCGTGTTGTGGCCTCACCTTCGGGCACTCACCGGGTTTTTCTGAGAGAGGCAGGAGGAGGGACCACCCTGTATTGCTGGCACCTCCTTTTGTGCAGCCTCGGGGTGCCCTGACCCAGGGATCTGAGTGCCTGCCCTGTGGCAGCGCCATCCCACATCCTGTGCCCAGGAGTTTTGCCAGCATTCCCAGTGGAATCACTGTTCTAGAGAGTGTCTGCTCACCTGGTTCCGGGGCTGAGCACACGTTGCCACATCTGCTGCTGCTGCAGCACTTCTCAGCCCCCGGGCACTGCCAGTCCTTGGTGCAGGTGGTGCCACACGGGGCTGGCGGAGCCTCCTCAGCCAGCGGGCAGATGCCTGGTTTCTCTGGGGGCAGGAGGCAGCGGGGCTGGGAGTGCAAGCAGCAGCAGCGGGTGCTCCCCACCCAGCGTCACAGTCCCTGGAGCTGGGGGACACCCCTGCCCGTGTCTGGCACCTTGGGATGGGGGCAGGCAGACGTAGTCACAGCCACGGAGGCAGCACTTCTCCTCGCGGGGACACTCGCCATCGTGCCAGCACCAGGCTCTGCAGTCGTAACTGGGGAACAGCCCGGCACGGACTGGGCAGAATCCATCCTTCCCTGCAGGCATGGTGTGGCTGCAGTGCCACTGCTTGGAGACAGGGCCGTGGGGACCGGGCACGTGGGGCTGTGGAACCTTTGGGGTGGCTCCCAGCCCCCTCACCTTGGCTGTTGGCCACACAGTGCCTGGTGCACAGCTGGTGACAGCACACGTGGAACGGGGGACAGTCCTCGTCCTTGAGGCATCCCCACCGGTGCTGCAGTGGCCTTTGAGTCACTGGGGCAGGGCTGGTGCCCTCTGCACAGCGGAGCAGGATGAGAACATGATGGTGGCCTCACCAGAGGCTGGTTGCGCTGTCCCCTTCCTCCCCACTCCAGTGCCCACCTGGGGCTGTGCAGTGTGTCCCCACCCCAGACCTGGCAGAACCCACCCTGGCAAGCATGGGGTGAGGCTCCCGTTTGTGCCACAGCTCTGTGCCATGGTGGCTGCTGCCACGGCGTCATTCCCGCTCTCTGAGCCGTGTCCCCGCCCTCAGAGCCCATCCTGTCCCGGGCTGTCCCGGGCTGTCCCGGGCTGTCTCACCGGCCGGCACTCCCGGCAGGCACTGGTGGCCGCAGCTGCTGTTGCAGCATTTCTGCGCGTCGGGGCAGTCACCGTCACCTCGGCACAGCTCCCGGAATGGTCCTGGCTGCGCCGTGGGGCCCTCGCTGGGCTTGCGCTGGTCTGCCAGGGCAGAAGGGCTGTGACCATTCAGCATCCCGCACTGCCGCCCTGCCTGCCCCGGGGGTCCCTGCTCCTGCCACGACCCACACAATCCTGGTGCCTGCGGCCACGTCCCGGGGTTGGGTTTTCCCTGCAGCTTCCAGGAGCTGCCGGGGCAGGGAAAGCACCGTGTGCTGCCCCAGGGCCAGGGCGTCAGGGACACAACTATGGCACACAGGGTCCCTGGGGGAGCCGGGGCTCCCAGCCGGCCCCGCCGAGTCCTTACCCTGCGCCGGCTCCAGGCAGGCAGAGCCGCAGCCCAGCGGGCAGCACTTCTGCGCGCCCAGGCAGTCCTTGTCCTCCAGGCAGGGGAAGGAGCAGGGGGCAGTGAGCCCCTCGGGGGCTGCTGCCGGGCACGCACCGGGCTTCTCTGCCGAGAGGTGAGGCACACTGAGGTGTCCCGGGGCAGCACCAGGAAACCTGCCCCTGCCAGACCCCTCTGCCTGCCCTGGCTGCGCCCCTTCCCGTGTCCCATCCCAGCGGCGGTCAGGAGGCTGCTAGCAGCGCACACGGGGCTGCCACCCTGGCTGCACCCCTTCTCGTGTCCCATCCCATCCACACATCCCAGCGGCGGTCAGGAGGCTGCTAGCAGCGCACACGGGGCTGCTCCACAGCGCTCAGGGAAGGGGACAGGGAGAAGGGTGCCAGCTGCCCCGGGACAGCAGCTGTCGTGCGGTGCCGTACCTTCTGCCGGGGGGATGCAGCGGTGCCGGCACTCCCAGTGGCAGCACTTGAGCCCGGCGGGGCAGCTGGAGTCGTTGGCACACAGCGGGGACTCCAGGCGCAAGCAGCGCATGAAGTCCCGTGGACACCGCCCCGGTTTCTGGGAGTCCCCTGCATTGGGATGGCAATGTCAGGACAGTGCCAGAGCCCCTCATCCTCCTTCCCTGGGGAGGCAGGATGTGGGTCTCTCTGCAGGGGACTGCAGCCCAGGGGCTGGAGGCTTCTCTGCATCATGGCCCGGGGCTGCTGGACCCCCACACCGAGACCTGCATGGCACAGCACACTGTGGCACAGTGTGGCATGACATGTCATGGTGTGGGGTGGCACGGCCCCTGTGTGCCCTCGCAAGTGCCACGAGGAGTGTCACTGGCCCTGTCGGGGTGAAGCCAGCAGGGAGCCAGCACCAGCTGGAGGTCAGGATCTATTCCTGGGCATCCTGCTGCCGCGGGCATCCTCACTGCAGCAGCACGCTCCTCACTGCTGCCGTCTCCTCTTCCTTCTCCTCCTCCTCCTCTTGGCACCCTTTGCTCCTCTTGGCCGTGTTGGGAAACCTGGGGCAGCCCTGCCTGTGGTTCAGGCGAGCTCCAGCTGGAGCCTGTGCCCGGCTCCTGCTGCCAGCTGGGCTGCCCTGCCCTCAGCCCGTCCGGCTGCGGCGGGGCCGTGTTTGGGCTGCAAACAGACGCTGCGGGAGTTTCACTGCAAACAGCAGCTGCTCGGTTCAAACAAAGAGGCTCCGGCCGTGGTCTCAGTGTGGGCACAGCCATGCTGGGCAGCACCGCCCCTGGCATTGTCCCACGGCGGGGGCTGGCAGCAGGGGTGTGTGCCCAGGATGCAGCAGAGACCCTGCTGCACGTGGTGCCGCTGGGAGCTGGCACTTGCTGTGCCCGAGGAGTGCAGGGGGTGCCCACGGGGATGAGGGCATGCACACATGCCCCTGCACTCTGGGGTGAGGGCAGGGTCCCGCGGGCAGGGTCCCCCAGGTGCTGCAGCCAGCTGGGACATGGCCCCTGTCAGCATATCTGGGCAGGGACAGAGGGGACACGGCAGGGACACAGGGGCTGGGATGCAAGGAGCTGCTGCCAGGCTGCAGCTGCCGGGTTTGACTCCTGGTACTCACCACCCTCCTCTGGTGTCACGCTCGGCTCTGCCCTGAGGATGAGGAGGCCCAGGAGGAGCAAAACTCCTGGGCTCCTGCTGCTGCTGGGGATGCTGTGCATGTCTGGAGCTGAGCTGGGGCTTGGTTCAAAGTCTGTGCCAGGGGTGCCTGAAGTGGCAGGGCAGCTGAAGCTGGGCTGCCTGCTGTGGCAGCTGGTTGTGCTGTGGGCAGGAGGGGCAGGAGGAGGGGCAGTTCCCAGAACCCGCCGGCGCCCCGCCAGCCATCCCGCTTATCTCTGCCCAAGCCCTGCTTTGGGGTCATGGTGACCTGTGGGGCTGGGAAGGCCAGATGGGGTCAGGCACTTCTGCCCCTCATGTTGCACCACCCCATCCTTGCTGCAGCTGGCTGCCATTCCCTCTCTGGGTTTCCTTCCAGCCCCACTCGCCCCTCTGCTCCCTGGAGTGGGGGGTGTGGACAGACCCCCTGGCTTGGTGCTGGCATGGCTGTGGGGGCAGCACGGGGGGTTCTGACAGCTCTACTCCCGTGGTGCTTCTCCTCAGCCAAGTGCAGCCTCCATGCATGGGACTGCTTGGGATCCAGCACCACGAGTGAGCAGGTCCTGCCGTGGCCCCTGGCACATGGGTGATGCTCCCTGCCCCCTTCCTTGTCTGGGTGCTCCATCTGGCCTGACCTGTGACTGCTTTTCCCACCAGGTTTTGACACTTTGGGATGCAAATGAGCCCTTCTTGGCACAAGGAATCTGAGTGAACGGGTTTTCCAGTCCCTGACTGCTGAGGGGACATCATGCAGCCCCCAGGCCCAGCAGGGTGGTTACCATGGAACAATGATGGCCGGAAATCACCCACATGGAACTGGGACCATCTCCCTGCCCCCGGGCAGTGCCTGCATGCAGGGATGGCTGCCTGCACCTCCCTGCCTGCAACAGCCCGGGCTGCCAGAGCCTCTGGAACCAGAGCACAGACCAGGGATGGTGCCCAGAGCAGAGGTGCCTGTGGGATGGTTTATTCTGTCTCAGTGCTGTGGGGCAGAGGTGCCATTGTGGATGCAGGGTTTTGCCTCATGCAGGGTCGTTAGGAATCTTGGCCACGGAGACTGCAGGCAGCTTGCAGCCCTTACTGGCACGGCTGGGGGTGCCAGGGACCCTGACCAGGAGCATGGAGTCAATGCTGGTGCCATCCTGCCTCCACAGGGTCCAGCGCAGGGAGAGGTGTGGGGTGCACCAGCACCTCTGCTCAGCCCATGGGTGCAATGGCAGTGGGGTGGAGGATGACCCTGAAATGGCAGCTCCTGGTGCAGCCCTTCCTGGCCATGGCTACGCTGTACCTGGAGGAGGCAAGTGAGGTGGTCAGTGAGGATGCCTCAGTGCTCCTTCTCTGAGGGATGGGGGGCCCTGTGGTGATCCTGCCCTGGCCCCCCTCTGTCCCCTCCAGGCTGGACCCAGGAGGCAGCATGCCAGAGGGGACCGTACCCCACAGTGGGTGGACACAGCCCTGCAGGCAGCACTTCTGGCCAAGGGGACAGTCCCTGTCCTGCAGGCACAGGAGGAGGCACTTGTCTGCCCGATCACACTCTGCTGCAGGGGGACAGAGACCTGGCCATGCTGGCACATGGGGAGAGAGAAAGGGGTGAGGGGCTCAGGGCACCCCTCCAGGGTGGGGAGCTGCCCTGCCTGCAGGCGTGAGCTCCTCACTGAGCTCCTGCCCCACTGGAGAGCAGCTCAGTCCCCAGCATCCCATTGCCCCCCAGAGGGTCACGGTGACAGGCAGGGAGGGGGCACAGGGGTCTGTCCCCACAGGGTGCCGATGGTTTACCCTTGGTGGGTGGTTTGCAGATGTGGCCACAGCCAGTGGTGCAGCACTTGTCGTCCCCAGCGCAGTCACCGTCGGTGTCACACAGCTCCAGACAGGGCCCCAAGGAGCCCCGCAGCACCACGGGGCACAGGCCGGGCTTTGCTGTGGCATGGTGGCTCCCTGGTGACAGGAAAGAGTGCAGCTGTGCCGGGATGCTGTCCCCAGTCCCGCTCCTGGCACAGCCTCAGTCTCCATCCTGTCCCTGTCCTGCGCCTCCATCTTCCTTCCCCAAGCCCCATGATGACCTCAGTCACCAGCCTCACACCACACCAGTCTGACCCAGTGAGACCAGTCACAGCTCAGGACGGGATGCCAGCTGGTAGCTGGGGTGGTGAAGGACAACCCTTGCTCTGGTTGCAGTCTGAGGGGGTGCAGGAGGGAGGGTCAGGAGGGGGTTCAGCCTTCCACACGCTCAGAGCCATCTCCCACCCATCACAGAGGAGCTGGGGATCCCTTCCCACAGCACCCTGCAGGCCAGCTCTGAGGGCTGGGGCTGTGCCCAGGGCAGGCGTGTGGCACCGGGAGCCACAGCCAGTGGCACACACTCCCTGGGGCCTGGCTGGATGCCACCAGCTGCACACTTGGCCGGGCACAGCCGCTGTGCCTTGTCCACAGCAGGGCTGGCACACGCTGGGCTCTGCCAGGGCGCAGCACCAGTGCAGTGGTGGGCTGGAGCTGGGGATCAGAGAGGCTGGCAGGGCTGTACCTGTGTCTGGAGGGGTGCAGGCCAGCCCACAGCCAGAGAAGCAGCACTTGTGCTCCCCAGGGCAGTCCCGGTCATCGGTGCAGAGGTTGGGGCAGGCAGCAGCTCTCCTCTGGGCACGCTTCCGTGGGCAGAACCCAGGCTTGGCTGCAGGGAAGGCTCAGGGTTTGGCCTGCAGCCAGCCTGGCCCCACTGCCCACGACCCCCCTACAGTGTGATGGGGGCTGCAGACCCCTGGGGCTGCCCCAGGGCATCCTCAGCCTGGCATGGGGGTCTCCAGGCACCTCACCTGGCTCAGCAAGCACGCAGCGGGTGCAGCAGCCGCGGGTGCAGCACTTCTCTCCCAAGTGGCATGCGGTGTCGTTGTGACATCTTGTCCCACAGCTTGGCCCGACGGCACTGCCAGCACGGGGGCAGTAGCCCGGGCTCTCTGCAGAGGGAGATGCTCCATGCAGCCATGTCTCAGGGAGCAGGGGCACCCCCTCCAGGGGCACCCACACAGGCACCAGCCCACAGCCCACCCATTGCCCGACCCTCGTGCTGGCACCCCTTGGAGTGAGCAGCAGTACCTGTGGTGGGCAGGAGGCAGCTCCAGACCTTCCCAATCTGGCAGCACTTCTCAGCACCAGGGCAGCCGTGGTCGGAGAGGCAGTACAGTCTGGGGGGCCAAGGGGCCCCGCTCGCCCCTGCCGGGCACTCACCCATTTTGGGGGGGACAGTGGGGCTCCGGTGTCCCTGCAGGGCCCCGTGTGGGGACGCAGTGAGGCTGAGGGCAGTGCCCTGCTCCCTGGGGCTGTGCTGCTGGGCCAGGGTGGGCAGTGCCAGGAGCACCAGAAGAAGGGTGCAGTGGCCCAGCATTGTGCTGCAGTCCATGTGCTTTTGGGCAACGGGCTGGGATTTAAACCCTGCTGGAGCGGGGGCTGGTCGAGCCAAGCTGCTCCTTCTCATGGCAGCACAGTTCCGGGACTGTGGGAGTGCTGGGCATGAACAATTCAGCTTGGGGGAGACTCCTGGGGCAGTGCTGGGCTCGTGACCCATGGCTGACACATCCACAGCTCCCTTTCCAGGTCACTGGTGACCTGGGAGCAGCTGTGCCAAAGGCTGAGCAGCACTGAGAGCCACACCATTGTGAGCATGGGTGGGACACAGGAGCAGTGTCCTGTCCCAGTCTCCAGTGTCCACTGGATCCCTCCTGGCACATGTGGAGCAGGGAGAGCTGTTGTGGAGCTGTGGTGAGGGCACAGCCTGCACCTGCACTGCACAGAGAGGGGGAACCAGCACCAGACTCTGGGCAGAGCTGGGCAAGGTGTGGGGTCACTCAGTCCCAGGGGACGGCTCTGCCAAGGGCAGGGGCTCTTGGGGTGCCAGCCTCTCCCAGGCAGAGGGGCATGCTCTGATCCCAGGAGTGGGGAGCAGGAGCAGGCAGGTACAGAAGAACAGGGCCTCTGGAGACCTGTGGAGAGCAGGAAGTGCCAGGGGAAAGCAGGACAGGAGCAGGAACCCAGATTTGAACAGGTGTGGAGGGTTGTGGCAGGGCACACATGGGACTGGGGCATGAGGGTTGCACTGCTGAAAACTCCTTCAGGCTTCTGCTGTGGGCAAGGTGCCATGGCCAGGCTGGCAGGGCAGAGGTAAGGAGGAGTCTGGGTGATGCTGGTGTACGAGCACACACTGCAGCCTGTTTGTCCCCTGGCCACTGCAGAGCAGGGAGCAGAGAGCACCTCTGCTTTGATGGCACACAGACACAGCTGCACCCTGACAGTGCTCTGAGCATGCTGCAGGACCCAAGGTGGAGGAGCCAGTGTGCAGGGACTGGGGCCATGGACCCGTGGGACAGCCCCTGGCAGGGCACACGAACCTTGGGGGCATGACAGAGTCAGTCAATGCTGCTGCTTGTGTGAAGCCCTTCCAGGCATCCCTGGCGTGGGAGGGAGAGGCAGCCATGGCTTGTGATGGAGAGGTGGCCACGGTGTGGGATGGAGAGGTGGGCACAGCATGAACAAAGAGGTGGCCATGGTGTGGGACAGAGAGGCAGCCACAGCGTGTCAGGGAGAAGCTGCTTTATTGGTGAGAGTGCAGGGGTCTTGCCCTGAGCAGAGAACCCCAGGGAGAAAACTGAGGCTGAAGGCTCCAAGGCAGGGGGATGGTGCAGGGCCACGGCCAGGGCAGGAGGGACGGGCATCGGGCAGCAGCTTCCCTGTGGCTGGGCTGGCAGGAGGCAGCTGCATCTGCAAAGGAGCAGAGGCTGTGAGCAGGATGGGTGCACAGGCACTGTGCTGTGGGATCCCTGGGGCTGGAATGCACCCAACTGACCTCAGTGGAGGATGGGTGTCACACAGGAGACCTTGCCACAGCCGTTCCTGCAACACTTCTGGATCCCGGAGCAGTTGGCATCGGTCTTGCACTGGTTGGTGCAGACGCCCAGCATGGGGATGCCCGGGTTGACGGGTGGGCAGGTGCCAGGCTTCTCTGAAAGGCAAAGGAACATGGCTGAGACCTGCTGGCCCTGGCATAGGGGTCAGGGCCTACCCTGCAGCGCCCAAAGCTGTGGGCATGGCCCTGGCCCCTATCTGCCATGGAAGAGGGACCACCACGGTACCCAGCATTTCCCCCATCCCACAGATCTGCTTGTTGGCACTCCTTGCCAGCTGGACCTGATGGGGACATGTCAGGGAGGCCACATGGCACACTGGTCCCCAACGGTCCCTATGCCCAGTGATCCCTCTCAGAGACACAGGGCGGGCACAGATGCACAGCTGCAGCATGCAGACCTGACGCAGGCCTTGTCCTCTACAACTGCCATGGATGGTCCAGACTGTGTGTTCACAGCATGGGGACACAGCCTAGGCCTCAGCCAGGATCATGGGCCCCCCAAAGAGCCTTTGCCCAGCAGCGTGGGGCTCCTGCCCCGCTGCCTGCCACTGGCACTGAGCTCTGGCTCTGCACCATGCAGCTCCCCACCATGGTGCAGCCAAGCCAGCGCTGTCCTGCAGGCAGCCATGGAGGCACTGGAGCCTCCAGGTCACATCCATCTGTCTGCAGCTGTGGATTCCAGCTCCTGCACCCATCTCCTAGGGTTGCTGTCCAGAAGGACTGCTGTGATGAACAACAGAACCGTGCCCCCACATCCTGGGCTGGCAGCTGCCCACAAGGCTGAGCACGCAAAAAGGGCTGCAACAGGGAGTGGCGCAGCCCCCACCCTCCACCCAAGCCCCAGCATCATTTCGGGGTGTCCACTCAGCCCCTGCATCGCTGAGAGGATGAACGGGTGAGCATGGCCCAGCAGGAGCACACCCCGAGCCTGCTGGGCTTCCATGCAGCCCCCAGTCCCTGTCCTGCAGCTGAGCACACACCGGGCACCGAGGCCCGTGGCCAGCACTGCGCCCGGAGCGCCCGCGCTGCCGGCAGGGACGGGCTGCTGGCTGGTGGCAGCGGCAGCAGGGCCGGGAGCAGGCCAGGAGCAGGAGGGAGTGTTACCGTCAGGCTTCTGGCAGGCCTTGCCGCAGGCTGCCGGGCAGCACTTGAGGGTGCTCTCGCAGTCGCCATCGGACTGGCACCCCGCTGTGCAGTTCACGGCGTCCGTCGCCGGGCTGGGGCACACGCCGGCTTTCGCTGCAAGGCAAAGGTGGGGCCGTGGGCAGCAGCGGGGCGGCGGGCGCGGGCAGGGCGGGCGCTGCCTCCCTTCCCGGGAGATGCTGCCCCGGCCCCGGGGCTGGGTCCAGGGATGCTGCCGAGCCCAGGCGCGCCGGGCACGGGCCGGTGCTCGCCCCGGCCCCCACGCCGCCCGCCCTGGGGCTGGGAGGGAGGGAGGGAGGGATGCTGGCCGCTCGCCGGGCGTGCCGTGACGAGCCGTGCCGGGCCACGCGCTCATACTCACTGGTGTCATTCTGGGCGGATGCTGCCGGCAGCTCTGCCCAGAGAGCCAGGAGCCCCGCCAAGATGAGGACGCTGCGGGCCGTGGGCATGGTGCAGGAACCGGCTGCGCTGTGGCCGCCCGGCCGGCCTTTAAGCTGCTCTCCAGGTGGGGCTCGGCCTTCCGGGTGGCTCCCAAGGGCCGGGCAGGGCCAGGCTCCCCCTTCGCGCTTGCACAACCCGAGTATCAGGTATCTGCTGCTGCTGGCTGCCGACCAGGGAGGGGGAGCCTCGAGGTGACTGGGCGGCCATGCTGAGAACTCGCCGGGCAGGAACAGCAGCCAGGCACCCCTGGCCACGGCCCCCGCTCGCCGGACCCCGGACAGCCCCGCACTGAGCCCTGCGTGGCCATCGGCCCTGGCGATGCAGTGGTACCGCTCGGCGCCAGTGCACCCGTTCAGGCTCAGCCTGCGTGCACCACAACGTGAGCTTGAATGCAACCCCCGGGCTGGGTCGCTGATGCCCCGAGGCCAGGAGGAGCCAGCAATGCACACAGGGTTGTGGCTCAGCTCCACTGCTGCTCAGCCAGCTCCCGTGCCTGTTGCAGCCACCGTTCTCCTCCAGCTCTTGCTCCTCAAGTGAAGGGTGCTCCAGGCTGCCTGTGCCTTGGGCAGCTGCCTGCCCTGGGGCTGCCCTGCGCCTTCCCACAGCCATGGGAGCTCCTGCCCAGCCACAGCCCTGTCCCACGGACCCTCACAGCCTCCCACAGCACTGGGGATGCGGATGGACCGTCCGACCACCATTTGTGCAAGTGGCCGCCAGGGAGTGTCACTGACACGCACCCCCAGTGCTCCAGAGCGTGCTGGTACTGGGGCTGTCCAACCCCAGTCCCTTTGGCCTGTCCGGGACACCCTTCCCATGGCACATCTGGTGGGTCAGGACACTTCACTGTCCCTGGCAAGTGGCTCGCCCCCCTGGCATGGCTGCCCTGCTGACATCAGCATTTGCCACTCTGCCAGCACCTATCCTCCTGCAGGAGGATGAAACCTGCCCTGATCCTGGTGATGTGCTCTTGCTGCTGGTGCAGGCAGCCCCAGCTTCAGGCATCTTGCAAACTCGCATGGGCCAAGGGTGCACGGGGCCAGGACATGATCCCTGCCTGAGTCACGAGTTGGCGGCTGCTCTGCTGGGGTCGGTCTCCAGGTAATTTAACCCCACAGTCAACAATGTGGCACGGCGGAGTGGCAGTAAATCAGTAACTGTTTGCCTTTGCCTGTGGTCCCCTCCCTGCCGGGTGTTTATGCAGGAACAGGAGCCGGCGCTCAGCCGCCTGCCCCACTGCCGCACCTCATGTCAGCGCTGACGGCAGTGGGAGTGACACACGGGCAGAGGCCTGGGTGGCAGGAGATCATCAAGGCAGCCGTTTTCCCTGTGCCCTCACAGATGGGCACCTGCTGAGGAGCTGCAGGGACCTGGCCACACTCAGGCTGGCTGGGATGCTCCCACAGCAGGCCCGGGGCCAACATCGGGATGCCAGGAATGAAAAGAACCATCTTGCAGCCCAGTGGCCCCTGCACCAGGGCCAGAGCACAGTGCTGTGTCAGCCAGGGGGGATAACGGCTGGGAGGTGGGCACACTGCCCACCAGGATGGAGAGGAGGGACCTGCACCATCCCTACCTGTGCTGCACAGGGACAGAGCCCACCTGCAGCCAGCAGCAGCTTCTCTAGAGCAGCAGCACTGCTGCCAGTCCCACACTGCCCACGCAGGGTCAGTGTGTCCCACTGTGACTTGGCTGTGGCCCTGTGCTGCTGCTGTCTGTGAGCATTATTGCCCTGATCTGACCCTGTGACT